CTGTTGAATTGGCGGATATTTTTGCTAAGGAAGTTTTCCGCTTACATGGCATACCCGATGAAATAGTGTCTGACAGAGGTTCTCGATTCATATCCAGATTCTGGGCATCTTTTACTGACCAACTTGGTATCAAACTTTGTCATTCTTCGGCTTATCATCCCCAAGCTAATGGTGCTGCGGAGAGAACTAACCAATCCCTAGAACAATATCTCAGATGTTTTATTTCTGATACTCAGGATAATTGGTCGACTCTGCTTCCCTGGGCTGAATTTGCCCATAATGGTTCCCAAAGAGAATCTACGAGTTACAGTCCTTTTAACCTCAATTTTGGCTTCCACCCTTCTGTTCACCCTTCTGGAAATGCCTGGTGTTGAGCAATATTTGGGCAGCCTGAGGTCCACTTGGGAGCAGGTCCAACGCATCCTCAATCAAAAGTCCTCTCTGCAGAAGAGACATGCCGACAGACACCGCCGTCCTAGTCCGTCTTATCAAGTCGGTGACAGGGTTTGGCTTAGTACCAAGAACATTAATCTTAAAGAAGTTAGCTCCGCGTTTCATTGGTCCCTCTCGTATCCTGAAACGTATCACCCCCGTTTCCTACAAGTTGCAATTGCCATCCGCACTACGTATTCCCAATACCTTTCACGTATCTTTATTGAAACCGCTTTCTTGTAATAGGTTCACCAAGCCTTTCCATGCCCCTGCTCCTGTTGTGGTGTAGGGTCAGGAAGAGATGAGATCCAGTCTATTGTGGATTCTCGCATTTCTAGGGGTGTACTCCAATATCTGGTTCATTGAAAGGGATACGGTCCTGAGGAGAGGTCATGGGTTGGGGTTAATGATATTCATGCTCCCCGCCTTCTCCGTGCTTTCCATTCACGTTTCCCTGATCGTCCAGGTGGTTTCCACCCTGGGGGCAGTTCTAAGAGGGGGTAATGTAAGAAACAGGACACTTACCTTGCCAGTCCGCCGACAGCAAGATAGGTCGGACAGCCGCTCCCACGCAGAAGATAGATACATTAAGCATCAAGGAAGCCAGCCGCTGTACACCCACCCCTTTTAAAGGGGCAATGCAGTCACATGTTAGCAAAAGAGCTCTAAACAAAAGAGCTCTAAACACAAGAGCTCAAATGACTCGTACCTTTTGGGGGCATGGTTATGTCCCCAATCATATAAAAGACAAGCCTGCCTTCAACTCAGTGCCCTGTTGTGGTTCCTAGTGTTCCTAGTTCCTCCTCAGCGCGTTCCTGTTTGCTTCTTTGTGTTTTGACTCGGCTTTCCCTTGACTCCTCTGGTTTCTGGTTTCCTGACTTGGCTTGTTCCTCGCTTTTGTGTTTTTCTGTACTCCTTTAACCTCTCGCTTGTCTCTTGCTCCGCTAGCTCTTTTCAGCCCGGTCATTCTAAGGACCGGTATAGGGGCTTTCTCTATCTACCTGTGTGGTTCTGGTGAGTTACACTCTGCGTGTTGGGCATATTCATTATAGGATGTAATTGTCTGCTATCTGTCTTCACACACCAAAGATCTCACAAGTTCCACACTTCAATGGTGCAGTCAGAATACTGTTGGGGAATGCATCGTTCCCTTATTGTAACCCATGACGGAACTGTTCATAAGCTCTCTTCAGCCATGGAGGCCTCTACATTCACATTTAGGTCTCCGAGCTCTCAACAGAGTGACAGCAGCTCAATCATTGGTCCATACGTAGGACCAACTAATGTGATCTAATTTGTTTCAAGAGTGGAGTAGGAGGCCTATGAGGGAACATGACTAGAGTTGAAGTCTGTTGTGGTGGAGGCATTGCTCAGCATTCTGTTAATGCCATACCTTCCTATATTCTTCATGTTTTACTTTTTGTACAGTTGTTTTTCTCATTTGTTTTACTTTACTAACTTGTGCTGCATACACCCTGTTCCAAATTATTATGCAAATTCTATTTAAGTGTCACAAAGATTAAATATTTAGTTTTTCAGTTTAACTCATGGATGGCATTGTGTCTCAGGGCTCTTTTGATCACTAAAAACAATCTCGGACACCTGTGATAATTAGATTGCCAGGTGAGCCCAATTTAAGGAAAAACTACTAAAGGAGGGTGTTCCACGTTATTAATCAGAGCACCATTTTCATGCAATATGGGGAAGAAAAAGAACCTCTCTGCTGCCGAAAAGAGTGAAATAGTTCAATGCCTTGGACGAGGTATGAAAACATTAGATATTTCACGAAAACGTAAGCGTGATCATTGCACTATTAAGAGATTTGTGGCTGATTCAGAGCACAGACGGGTTCGTGCAGATAAAGGCACATTGAAGAAGATTTCTGCTAGGTCCATGCATCGGATCAAGAGAGCAGCTGCTAAAATACCATTACATAGCAGCAAACAGATATTTGAAGCTGCTGGTGCCTCTGGAGTCCCACGGACATCAAGGTGTAGAGTCCTGCAGAGTCTTGCAACTGTGCATAAACCTTCTATTCAGCCACCACTAACCAATGCTCACAAGCAGAAACGGCTGCATTGGGCAGAAAAATACATGAAGACTAATTTTCAAACAGTCCTCTTCACTGATGAGTGCCGTGCAACCCTGGATGGTCCAGATGGATGAAGTAGTGGATGGTTGGTGGGCGGCCACCCTGTTCCAACAAGGCTGCAACGTCAGCAAGGCGGTGGTGGAGTCATGTTTTGGGCCTGAATCATGGGAAGAGAGCTGGTCGGCCCCTTTAGGGTCCCCAAAGGTGTAAACATGACCTCTGCAAAGTATGTGGAGTTTCTGACTGACCACTTTCTTCCCTGGTACAGAAGGAAGAACTATGCTTTCCGTAATAAAATCTTCATGCATGACAATGCTCCATCTCATGCTGCAAGGAATACGTCTGCATCAATGGCTGCTATGGGGATAAAAGGAGAGAAAGTCATGGTGTGGCCTCTATCCTCTAGCAAAAGATCTATGAGGGTGGGAGGCAGTTTACACCCAAACTGCAGCTCTGGGAGGCTATTCTGACATCTTGCAAACAAATTCAAGCAGAAACTGTCCAAAAACTCTCAAGTTCAATGAATGCAAGACTTGGGAAGCTGCTATCAAATAAGGGGTCCTATGTTAAAATGTAACGTGACCTGTTAAAATGTTTAAAAAGGTAAAATGTTGTTATAGGTTTGATTGAAATAGCTTTTGATTTCAGTAAATGTGCTGCAAACACAACAAATGACAATATTCAGTTCTTTACAACCTATAAAGTGTTTTGAAACTTACTGTGCGTAATAATTTGGAACAGTGCATTGTAAGTTTTTTATGTTTAAAAAAAATACTGTTATCATTAGGAGGTTTGTTCTATAAAATTTGAATTGTACTCTTAATAGTTGATAACATGAAAATTATGCTGACTGTTATTTACATTTACAATTATTTAGGTAAATGAGAAAAATATAATTTGCATAATAATTTGGAACAGGGTGTATATGAGAAAACCTTGGCTAGGAGCGGCAGTATTGGTAAGTACTATCACATACAGCACCCCTGCCCCTTTGCCCCCTTTGGTTAGGGGATCCAACACATTTGTGCCCGCCAGCCTGATACTAGAATAACATGCTATCAGACTACACTATTAGCCTGTATTAGTCCTTCCTGTCTTGTTCAACTGGGGCCACTGGTTAGTAACAATTACAGATCCGTTATTTCATAATTAAAAAACAGGGGATAGATAGCATGGATTTTGTTTCTTCTCTTTATGTTTCTTGTGTCAATTCTAATGCCACTGCGGAAACTCTGTTTTGTATATCACCTGATTAAAAAACAAATTAACCTTGTTATACCCCCTGCTGTCAATTAGACCAGTGCTCCTCAACCCTCTCCTCAAGGCACACCTAACAGATCAGGATTTAGGTGTGTCTAAGTTTTTTTTACTCTAAGGTGTATTTTTTTTCCTTTTTCTAAACACCTTAATCCATAAATTCTGAATTGTTAGGTGTGCCTTGAGGAGAGGGTTGAGGAGCACTGAATTAGATAACCGGTCATCTTACTTCTTGGTTGTTTATCTCAGTGGTGCAAAACTCAAGAGGCAGGTAAGCTATATTAGGAAGTCTGTTATTGGACAGCCACAAAAAGTCTGGGCTGTGGAGAAAGGGGAGGACATGCAGACAAGAGATCTGCAGCTGTTTAGATATATGTTTAAATATACCCACAATGAAAACATACCTAATTAAATGCATGCATGTTTTCCTTTGGGATATATCTAATAAATGGTGATTTATTTATTATGTGTTTGATCAGTGAAGTGTCCCTTTAACTCTGGGTATCGTAGACTGTTGTGCACAAAAAAGGTCAAAGTTTTACTATTCAAATGCAATCCCCATCTATCTTTTGCCACAGGCTCTTTTGACGCATTGGTTCCCAGAGTTATACTGAGGAGCCATGAATAGCAATACCCAGCTGCTACCCACCCCCTGATTACTGTAATTCTTATCCTTTACTGAATAGCTAATTGAGAAGGTGATCTATGCCGTGGTACCCTCAAAAATTGGGAGCATCGCCTCTTGGTAGTATTCACATAATGCCTGGCCTCCTTACCCTGTCAGTCATTTGCTCAGCATAGCTAAGATGTTCTGGCACTAAAGGTAGATAACTCTGGTTCCCACAGTGTCACTGTAGCCTCCCACAGGACCCTTATTCTATTTGACAGGTTTGCCTTTATGTAATACCTGGTACTGTATATATATTCTGCCTGTTGTTCAATAAACCAGTATTTGGGCACAAGGTGGGGATAGCTATTTATCATTCCATCCATTATCTGGTTGATGGGTGGCTGATATCACTGAAAAGCTAAGGCTGCTAGGTGGGTAGTGCAAAGGTCCTAGGTTGCTGTGGTCCCTGGTGGCTTGGAGAAGGGATGAACACAGTAGCAGGGTCAGGTCTTGGTGCAAAGTCACAGATCAAGCATCCTTTTCTTGTTACACACAATATGCATTCTCATTCAAATTACATACATTTGGAACACTAAGAAACACATGCCATAATAATTACATATGTATTTTATTGATAAAAAATATAAAATACCTGATAACACTGGCTTCTTTAAAGCCACACAATAACCCCCCCTCCAGTCCCTTGGTAAAATAGTTTACAAGTAATGTAAGCCTATCCATGTATAAACAATCTAAACTATGTACGCTTTCACAATGTATTGCAACATCTCCATACGTAGGACATGGTCCATTAAATACAAATGCAGCATATAGCATTTCACAAAACTAAATGTGTTTTTTTTACCCAGCTAAAGGAGGTATGTGTGCATAATAAATAATTAGCCTCCACTATGTTGGGTAACAACACAAAAAGATAGAGGGAGAAGTCAAGTATAAGTATTGCTCCAGAAAGCAACAACATGTTTTAACAATTCAGGAGAATCTAGTAACACAATTCCCTGTTGAGACATAGAGCTGAGATCTTAACTGAGTCACAAGCGTCTTGTGACTTTTTTTTTTTTTTATCATGGTGCTTATGTGTGTTTAATTAAATCTCCCCGACAGGCATGGAATGCGACTCAAAGCTTGGTTTGAGATGAATAAGAAGTCTTGTTGTACTGTTTATTTTAAAACCAATAACTTTTTAGACATCTGAAAATGCAGCAATAATTTATGAGATGTTAGAGAAAAGGGGACCTGCAATACATTTAAAGAAATTACTGTGCAAGTTGAGAATGCGCTAAGGAAAAAAAAGTTGATCAGTAAAATTCAGGCCACATAAGGCGATCTATATGTACTTCAACAACAAAATCCAGAATTACACAGGATGTGTACCTATAATTCAGTGCAGAGAATTGCATCTATGAAAAAAAACATGCATACACTTGTACCTAAAATATGTAAACAGGTGATCTATCTCCAGTAAAGACACACCAATCTGTGTGAGCGATGGCGCAACCTGTAAATAACTGTAGATTGGCAGTGATAACATACCCTCTTATGTGCAGTATGTTCCGCATCAGGGCAGCTATCCTGATAAGATAAATACTGAATGTGGTTCTTGGAATGTAGAAGTAAAAAAAACAGTCTTTTTTTTTTTTTTTTTTTACAAGAATGACACACTATTTATGCATTCTTCTGTCGGATTGTATTTCCTACATGTTAAATATGTGTGGGGAGGGGAATCAGCATTGTTGAAAATATAAAAGAACTCCCTTTTTTGCTAGAGACAAAAGAAAAGTATACATAAGCCAGTGCAAATTAAAGTGGGTATATAGATTTACCTATATAAGCAGCAGGTGTTTCATTGGAAACAGATTTGTTCTGCACCAAGTCTTCTTTAGAGACAAAATAGTGCAAATATTGCAGTGCTGCCGAATTAAAGGTCCCATAAAGCATTTGGCTTACTTAAACCCTCTTGAAACAAGCTCTGGCCATTTAGAAGGCCTGAATTGTTCTATCTATTTCTCCTCTCAGTAAGTCTTTCAGTATAAATAGTTTGTTTGATCCTCATGATGAGCGTAATCCTGGTGCAATATTTCAGATGCTGAGCATAGCCAGCACTTCAACATTCCACTTTATGGTTTCCAGTTCAGTATTAAATCTACAGAAAGAATCTGTAATGCGCTTCCATTGCATGGTCTACTGAGAAAGGGGCTCTCTAACCATAACCACTACGGCTCATAGTGGAATCTTCCTAAAGAGTACTCTTTCTCTCTCCATAACGCGGAGTCTTCGGAAACCACAACGTTTTTGTTGTGAAACCATCCGTAATCTTCATATTAATTCTTATAAGGCACAACATGAGCTTTGTGTGCAGTCAACAGCAGGAGGCACCATTGCAGTGAGATTCTGCACAATCTCTAAATCTTTGGGTAGTCCAAGTTGGTCTGTAGTGCAAGTAAAGGGTCATCTCCGCTGGACAGGAGGCCTCAGGGCCACTTTCTGTGGACAAAGAAAAAAGAGAGATTGACATTAAAAATTAGGTTGACATTAAAAAGATTAGTTTCTAGGGCAAACATGTTTATAAAAAAAAAAAGCATGTGAGTTCTTGTCATCGTGGCATTAGTAGCATCTACCATGTATTCCTGAGATAACTGTAGTTTTACTTGCCTACTCTGTTACAATGGGTTAGATTTAAATAAACCAATGTAGAGTATTCACAGATTAATATAATAAATAGTATTAGTGATAACTAATATGTAGTATAAAGCTACCCAAATTTCACATGACCGCATGCTTACAATCCAGTCATTACTTACCTGTGAGGGCATAGGCGACATTCTTACTGCGGATGGTTTCACAGGTGGTGATGGTTTTACAGGTGGTGATGGTTTCTGTTTCAATTCCTGAAATGAAAATATACATGTTAGTCAAATGTATTTTTATGCAGTGTATATGCCTTAAAAAGGAAATCATAGTTTAATTAAATAGTTTTCCCAAGGGCTACTTCATGTACCATTTCTGACATATTTTAAAGGGACATTGTAGGTACTTCATCCCTTTATAGTGCCTCAACTTCCTTGGCAACATCCTTCCGTTCATTGTTAAATTAATTTCCTCAACATTCCAATCCCTGTCTACAACAGGAGGCAGTGATTAGCTGAGTGTCAGCTGACAGCTCTCAACCTATCACAGGCTCCCATTGCTGGTATGTATTGGTATGGCAGAGTAAAAGTGTAATCTCAGTCTTAAACACACCTCTACAGTGAGAAGGGGGCAGGCTGTGGTTAGCCAGGGACCCTTCATCAGTGTTAAATTGTTTGAAAATAGAATGGAGGGACTTCAATACTCGATCCACTTTAATAAGATTAAGTGGCTCTAGTGCCTAGAGTGCCCCTTTAACAACTATTGTAAAGGACAGTAGAGTATATCAACATGACTGACTTATTACCAATACATACACAATCTTATCCCTATAGTATTGTCAAACAATATATTGACTGTGACTCTCGGTAAGCATTGGGAAGTTCAATGAAAAAAAAATAGATGCACATGTTTTTAATATATTTGTTTAGCTAACATTTAGTGATCCAGTGTCCATGTCTTTTGCAATATTGCTTAATCACATTTATGTAGCAGTTACCATGACATTGGTGCCTAGTGAGAATCTGTATACCATGAGAACTAATCAAGCATGCTTGGCTTATTAGTGTAAATTAGTGGGAAGCAAATGCTGTGTTCAAAAGGGTCAGTATAAGCACCAAAGGTTGTGGTGTACAGAGTATCCAACACTATGAGTGGCTTATAACAAATTGTGAACAGGGCTATGTATAAACCGATAGCAGCTACATTGTAGATGCCATCTGTTTATAGAACAACTCCATTCATCCAATGTAATGAGTGGAACAACTACCGGGGGATTAATTACTTATCCTATAAACCCCCTGCTGAACAGAGATGTAAGAGATAAGAGCAGTCCCCCATAGACCAGACTAAGAGAGCTCCTGATTGAGGAAGCTTCTCTACGCGGGGTCAGGATCTTCAAAAAGGGAGTATTTTTTTAATTAAAATTTTATGTCGTGTAACTATTATCTATAAATGGTCTTTAAAGGGAGAACAATTCACTAAAAACTCACACCCTATTTTAAAATAATCTGTATTTTTTGCACAGTGCAAAGATTACTTACTGGTTTTGTTTTCAGAGCAGGCAAAGGCTTGTTTGGAGGGATTGGAGCCTGGGAATAAAACAGAGAGAGAATGTGTCACACGAATTTGCAGTGTAGAAATGATAATAGAGCTTTAAACATGTTTAAACCAAATTAGCTAGTAAGGTGAGATCTTGCTATATTCACACTCAAATTATTATAATGAAAATGTCACTTACCTGTGGAATTACTGGTCTGGCTGGTGCTTTGACAGGCTTGGCTGGTGGTCCAGGAGGAGCAATTCTAGGTTTTGTTACCTGAAAAACAGTAATGCAACATTAGAAAGATCCGAGCGTCTTAGTGTTGAGAAAATTAACTACGTACTATGGAGATTACTTCCGTCCATAATATTGCTGAATATAGGCAATTATACAAAGAAGCATAATCAGCAAAAGTCATCAAACTGTATAGTAAAATCAATAAATAGATGACATAGACACAACCTACTCCCTGACTGGCGATTTGTCTTTCCCAAACCAAATGAAAAAATATTTTTAATGGTATGTTTTATGGTAAAAGGACAAAATGTAAACTACCTGGGGTGATTTTGGAATTTCGATAGCAGACTTGAGCTGGGAATCCAGAACAAATGTGGGAATCTGTGAAAGGATAAAAATAAGTAAGTACTTTGGCACCATTGTTATTATTAGAATTCTAATGACAAAATATGCTATTAGGATGAGGAGATTGAGAAGATAATTGGGATATCTGATGGACATTGTAGAATGTTACAGAATGCACGATGGAGTTTTTAGGAAGAGATTGAGCTCAGTTGTTCTAAACTGACATAGATGGAAAGGTTTATGGATTACATTTATGGTTTGCATTTTGTACCTTTTCTATGTCCTCATTTGGGATTATAGTGATAAATGCAGACCTAGAGTCTTCAAGGTTAGAAGTGCTAGCAATCAGCTGGGGACGCCCAATCATGTGATTTGGTAAGCTTTTCTTGATGGGTCTGCTGTTGCTTCTGCTGTCTTGGAAGAGAGGATTGGACAAACCTGAAGAGCGGGAGCTTGCAGTGACCGTCCTGTAATGAACAATAAAATTAGTTCAACACACACAAGGTGAAGCTGTTTAAGATTAATTATCTTTAAAGCTTTAGCTTAAAACATCAGTAGGTAAAAGTCAGTAATAAAGACCTTGCGTTTATCTGGGTGTACCAACCTAGTATTTCAGAACTTACAGTAAACATAGGAGAAATTGTATGGTTATTGAGAAATAATACTACGTTTGTCAAAGAGTTACTGAAAAACATGCAGGGAAATAAATTTGAGTGATGGCATTTTTATTTGGGATTTGCTTCAAAAATGTATATGGGTTTTGATTGTGGTTAAATCTAGGTTATAAAATGGCATACTCAAAATCTGTAAATGAAAGATTAAGTGGTCAGTTTTTCGTTTTTATTTCTGTTGAATCTGTGTCACAAGTTCCTCTTCCCCCGGAAAACCAGAAGCTTGAAGATAAATCAATAAGATGACACACATCTGGACATCTGCAGAAAAACCACTAAACCTATGGTCCACTTAAGAGGAAGTGACTCGAAACCTCTGTAGGAAATGATTTTTAGAGATCAGCAAGAAAAAAGGATCATGAAGTGCAAAAGTTTAACTGATGGTGATATATGCATTCACTATGAACTGTGTGTGTTTTTCTTTAACCCTTTAAGGGCATGTAATTTACCTGTTAAGTAAAAAAATGTTATACTTCGCCAACATGTTTTTCAAATATATTATTAAATCAATAGTGTGATGACCCATATTGTATTGACTACAATATTTGTATTTATTTGTGTTTATGCTAAATGAGAATATGGCTAAAAGAAGCTATTTTCTGCTTTTGACAGGATGTGTACAAATCGTGCGTTGTATGAAGCATCATGTAGTGAATTTTTTGTAAATCATATTTCCAAGTATACTTTAACAATCTATTTAAAGAGCTATATATGCTGCACTTTTCTTTACTTTTTAAATGCATTGTAACAAAACTGAACATGTCAGGCTTGCTTGACACTGTTCCTTGCTCCCCCGTTTTCTGCTATTCCAGCAGTACGTTTTATTAATACATGCATATACAAAATCCTGCTGAAATCGCTTGACTTTTTTTTTTTTTCATCACTTCCAGAAACTCATGATTACATGCAATTAGTTATTGTGTTGAATGCTGCACATTGGGCCTCTTGACTGTGTACCAAAACACAACTCAAAACAAAAATAGAATAGAAAGAAGAAGACGAAGAAAAAAAAAAAAGTACAAGACCAACATTGCTTCTTAAAAAGGCAAACTTACACCGTAACAGGCAGTGCGATCAACAATACCAAATTAGGTAAGGTATTGATGCGTTTACCCAATAACACAGTATTGGTTTCTGATGATAACATTGTGTCAGTTGTAAAGATGTTATTTTTTTTATTTTCTATACTTTCTACATTAGGAGATGCAGACACAGTTTAGTTGTTCCCAGACTGGAATTCAACCAAATATCCTTTGGCGTTGAAGTAAGCACAGAATATCTGCTTTCAAAATGTATCCGCACGGGATCTAGAAAGAAAAATCTGAGCAGCCAAGAGTCTGTGAAACATGACTCAGACTCTGAGAGGATCATATAGCCGATGAACAAATTCCTCAGATGACTTATATGTACTGACATAAGAACAAATCAATAATCAGTCACAGAGCTGGGGAATGCTAATGGTAATTACAGTTTGCAACATAAAACCTTGTTACGGGATGTCAGATTATACAAGAAAAAAGGAATATTGGAAATCTGTGCTCAACATACATTTCCATAAAAGAACCAATTTGTCTCTTAACTACATTGACTTTTATTCTAGGCAGAAATCTAATGTATGCACATATAATTCAATAGTAAAATAAATCTATTTAATGTCGCATATTTGTAAATGGAAAGTTATTTTGTGAAAAATATCACTTTTTGTATAATGCGGGGGTAATTGCTCTCTGTCAGCCAAACAGTTTTTTTACATTATAAATGTCTTTTGAAATTTCAATCAATAGGGGTTTTTATGATGCATACTATTTATGCCAGTTGTGTGTGAAAAACTTCAAAAGTTGTCACCTTTTTTGAGGATAGTTCCTTTGCCTCCATTTGTAGTAAAAAATCCCTCCTACAATCAAGACGGCAAACAGTAAAATCGCCACCAAAATCCCAGCAACAAGAACCCATTTTTCTTCACCTGCAGAAATGGATACAAGTAGAATTAGCAGTATTCAATAACATGAAGTTAAATTACTTTGTTTTCACAAGTTGCGGTAAAAATGTTAGGATAGTCAATGCTGTGATTTTTATTTTTTTTATTTCTGTACTTCTGCTTTCTGTAGCATGGAGAGCTGGTTTTATTTTCTGAGCTGATCTTAAAGGGACACTATAGTCACTAAAACAATTTTAGCTCAATGAAGCACATGTGGTGCATAGATCATGCTCCTGCCGTCTCACTGCTCAATTCTCTGGCAGAAGTTAAATCACTTTGTTTATGTAGCCCTAGCCACACCTCCTTACATGTGACTTACACAGCCTCCTTAAACACTTCCTATGAAGAGTCATCTAATGTTTACGCGTTCTTTATTGCAAGTTTAATTTAATTTAGAATCTCCTGCTCTGGTAATGGCTTGCTAGACCCTGCAGAACCTCCTGTATGTAATTAAAGGTCAATTTACAGAGCAAGAAATAAAAACTTTTAAAGTAAGTTACATCTGATTGAATCTGAAACCATTTTGTTTTCATGCAAACTGTATTAGTCACAGCCAGGGAAGGTGTGGCTAGGAATACATAAACAGAAACAACCGTGATTTAACTCCTAAATGGCAGTAAATTAAGCAGTGAGACTTCAGAGGCAATTTTTTTATGCCTCTACAGTGTTTCTTTCAGGGACAAGAAGACATTCTGAAAGATTTCCATTTCTCTATGATGCTAAAGTTGAAGTACAGTGAGTGCTTTATCTACAAAATTATAGTAGCAGTAAATATACGTTTAAATTGCACATTATGTAACCTGGTCGTTTATTTACAGAGCAGACAAACAAGGAAGCATGTCTCTCTTTAAGCAGTGTAGAATGTGGGATAGCCTAGAATTATTTTAGGCCTACTACAATTCAAACTTCCTTTGGGGTGACAAGATCGCCAGTTATGCAGTTCTGTTATCATTAAAACAATGTCGGATGTAGGAAATTCAATTTAGTGCTTTTAAATAATTAAAGTAGGCCCATTTACCAAAAACCAGTTGTCAATAAAAGCAAGAGCTATCTCTCCTGCAAACAATTTTATGTTATATTTAGTGTTGTTTTCCTATAAGTGAGAAGTCTGCTTGCTATTAAAGAGTCTTCTCAATAATATGCAGCTTTACTGCAGTCAGTGTAAGAATGATGGTATGTGTCACTGAATTTTTTCCAGAGGTATGCATCAGCCGCAACTGTTATGATTCATCATTCATGACTTCATACTATTAATATTTTTCCAGTTATAATACTAACATAATTGTGTATAGAACATGGAAACCCACCACCCCAGCCAATAAAATATTAAATAAACTGATCATTATAAAAATATTTTTTGTTACCTCCAGTTATCTCCGTGAACTTGTGGTCACAGTATGGTGGGGCCCAACCTGGTTCACAGTGGCATTGCCTCTTGTGATTGCAAACCTGTAATGAATAGAATTGTTTATTACTCGGTTAGTCAGTCACATGGTCTCATAAACACCACTTGATTGGCCAGTGTAGAGTTTTGCTGTGCATGCGCACTAGCCTCCCAATGATTTCTACGTGAAAACACTGGATTGGCTGAGATCATAAAGATTAATCATCAAAGAGGCAAGCATCGCGGCAAGGTAGAAAAAGTAAGTAAATAAGGGGGACGGTGCTGGTACCCTAATCAGGGAGCAGATCACTATAGCATTACCTAACACTATACTATACCTTTAAATTCCTTACATTAAGGCTTCATATAATAAATGATGGCCATATCAAAAAATATAATTTACTACAGTGATTTTGTAAATTTAACTGCAAAATGTAAACTAAAATAGTGGATTTTGAAATATTCTCTTAACTGAGCTGCACAATTCAATTTCCTGTGAGTGTGTGTAAGAAATTTAGGCATGTGGAATTATTTGTGTTGGAATTTGGCCGTAATGTGGATAGTAAGGGGATTTAGTGGGCTGCTTTTAAAATAAAATTAATTTATTATATTCAGGCTATTGTGGTTAAGTTACACACCCCACGGTCGTTGCATTTTGCGGAACAATTCTTTTCTCCAAACACCGAAAGATCTCGACACTCTCCTTCAAAGCAGACCTAAACAAATACACATGGTAGTTGAAAGTTTGATCAACAATTTTACTTAAGATTTCTGATGTAAGAAAAGTTAAACACATGCTACAAAATATTTTCTTTAAAAAAAAAAATGTAATCCTTGAAATATTCCATCTGATGACCTTAATGTACTCATGCAAATGAATAACTATTAATATCGGAAGAGGTTATGTTGATAGTAATATACAGTGGATCCTCACCATGCCCATGCCACATTTGGTGCCAGAAAGGACCATTCCTGGGTCAGATGTTAACCCACTTTCCCTATCTGCTGATTCAGCCACTTTGCATTCGATCCCACCAGACATTGTCAGTACGTATTTGTTGTTGGTTGTTGGGAATTCTTTGCCTCTGGTACAGTGTAAGCGCCCACACATAACGTCCCTGTTAAAAATTATATGGGGAAATGTTAACTATTTCACACAGAAAAAATCCATTAATGCTAATTAAAACAGAACTGGCCAATCACCATGAACAACTAACTGACCAACACAGTCTGGCTAGAAAAAAGCATACCCTATCTGGTCTGTCCAAACAGATTTGTAAAGAAATAGGTTCTTTATACAATTAATACACTGTCATACAGATTAACTGTAGATAATTAGTTAATTGAACTAAAGTTTTCTTTATTAAAGTTGGCGATCGGAGTCAATATTGCTAGCTTAGATCTATTAACCATAGATAAAACCAAACTTTCCAGAAATACATACTTGCTTTTACATTCTCGATATCCATTAGCTGTCTTTTTGCAGTGCAGATATTTGTTGCCCTGGATGTTATTCTTGAAACAACTGCCTGGAGCAACCTGGGCCTCTGTAGGAAACAAGGAGAAATAGAATCAGATCTCTCAAACTTAAGTTGTATAGAACAGTGATTTTCAACAATGGTCCCCAAGCATCTCCAGTGTGTTAAATGTAATATTTTATGTAATAAAACACTGCTGGTATGTTCCTTAGTCGGTCCAGTTAGAAAGATAGAACTATGGGTTTGAGCTTCTTCTACTTGTGAACAGGGTCCGAAAAACACGTGCTACAAAGTAAAGCTTCATAGACTATTCCTCAAAGACAACCTTACTGGTAAACCAGAATTTATGGGTGTATCAAATTGTACATGTCGGTTGTAGTCAAATCCTGAATGGCTGGCAACCTTAAACGACTAACTTAAGATGCACTGCTGTAGGAATGGATTCTTAAGAAGCCATTTTGAGAAACGTATTTTCAAATAGTCTGATTATGTAGCACAAGACAAATTAAAATAAGTCATTTTAAATGCACAAGCACAATCCAAGGCTATTACAATATTCAGCTAACATAATCTCATATTTTCTAGCTGGATTGAGCCAATGAGTTAAGACTATCTTTAAAATATATATTAAAAAAAAAATAAGTTTTCAATTCCGTCTGTCTGGTTAGTCATGCGTCCAATTCCATTTGCATCATTCTGTTTATCTAAGATTGGAGTGCTCTGAGTCTCAACATATAAAATAGCCGTACCTGAGCCCCACAAGGTCCTACACTGCTGAATGAGGGATGGACACTCTCCGTTGTAGCAGTATCCATTCAAGCAGGTAACTCCATTTTCCTGGAAGGCATCCTCGGGGCATTCAGCAGAATTCCCATTGCAATATTCCGGCAAATCGCATTCCCCCTTCTTAGTGCGACACATCTCACCGACCGGCCGAATCTAATAATAACAGGGATTTAGTGAACCTATCCACTGGTTCTACTACTTGTATATATTAGCAATAGTACACGTGGCTGTTGGGTGATTAATCCAAAAGAGATATACTACAAACCCTCCCCCAACTGAAATCCCTTTCAATGTTGCTTATAAAAAAATGAAATAAATACTCTACATTCATTATCAGACTTCACCCTGGTGTAACAAGCTACTTCTTATATCACTTTGAAGAACTAAATATCCATAAACTGTTTATCTATCTGTAACAAAACACTGTGAATGAATGATCTACATAGTAAAGCTAAATTCCTATTACAGCTATATAAATATTTATGTAAAATGTATACAGTTCTTTGCTATGGTATGTTATCAGCCAGCTAACGATATTACTACATAGTCAAGGTACTAAGACCATACCTTGCACTGCTGACAGCATTCTCCCTGAGCACACTGTGCTCCTTCCTTCAGCCGGCATGTGGTTGCATTACAGCAGGGATCGAGGCAATCCTTAAACACAAAAGAATTGCAAAGAGTTAGCTAAGATTATGAGATGATGATTTCTACAGCTGTGCATTATCCCAAGGAAGTTTAAATGAGTGTGAGTGTATTTGAATATGCACACATGTATATTCAAAGATAATTTAAATTAATAAAAAAAAGAATGACCAAAACCACTAGATAACAGGACACATTGAGTGTATGGTTATATAAATATATGGTTACCTCCAGACTTCCACAGTCACATTCTTCTCCACTCTCGACAAACTGGTTTCCACATACTGGCCCTCCAAAGAGCTGGTTAGTATCAGGGGTGTTGAGTAGACAAGTAGGACTCATTTCATTTAAAAAGGTTTGTAAGTCTGTTAAACTGCAGCTGCTGAACATCTTGGGGTAGACGATCCTGCAATTGGAATAAGGACACGTGATTATGTATTCTAAAATATTAACAAGGTCCCTCATAGGTCTAATGATGACAATGATGAAACTAGGAGGCTACTCACCAATTATTTATCAATATATGTAGATGTAATGTATTAAATAAACAAAACAAAACACACGAAAAAAACATGGTTGTTGGAATAGCTTTGGCTGCACTGGAGATTGAGCTATTCAATGTGCCCTTGTGCATGCAACCCATAAACAAAAACATTAAAATCTATTGATAGTCAGTTGCCAAAATGTATTGGGGTAATATAGCAACAACAAAAATCCCACACAAATAAACAGATATATTATCCACAAAAGCAAACACGATTATTTCTCACCCCACACTTTTCGACATAACACAGCCACCATTTTCTCTCGTTTCCGTGCAATGACAACCTGGCACATCTTCATCATGGGACATGCCAAGGTTATGCCCCATTTCATGAGCCAATGTTGAGGCAGCACCAATGGGATTTGAACTGTGATCCTGCGGTAGGAATAAAGCATGCATTAATGACATACAAAGGACTATACAGCTCAAATGCAAGTTGAATGGTTAAAGAGGTGCAAATTTACCTTAATTTCTTAATATTAACAAATCTATGTGTATATTGATTATGTCACAGCTGATAAAGCAAGGCATAAACCGTTTGACCTACATTCATCTCTACTCTTGTGAACACTGCATTGTACAATTGTAGAGCCAAAGATCAGAAACATTTGTACTCACTTGATTGACCGCACCAGAATCCCCAGTGCACATAGCCAACTTGGTGGCCAACCCCACTGTAGTACCTTCAAATTCAATCCCGCTGGAACATAAGAATGAAAGAAAAAAAAAAGTTACAACTTGGCATAGATCTTTATTATTAAGCCCTTGTCACACACGTGTAATCCTCTCCTGTTTCTGCAAACAAGGCTGTGTCATATGCCAGGAATTGAATTTCCTGATGCAAAACTGGCCTATTCAGTTCAGAGGTTTTCTACTGGAAATGTCCTAGTACAGTCTGACTAAGCACTGGTTTATACATCACTTTTAACTATTACGTAGCCACGACAGGACAAAAAAAAAAATTATATCTGCCCATCACTACCCAAGATTCTTACGTGATTAACTGTGCGTTATCATGCCGCCGCTTGCGAAGAAGATCAGTCTTGCGCCACATCAGGAAATTATCAAGAGTTTTACCAGCATTGGTGCTCACGGTGATCTTGTCTTTATTCGTCCACACTTCCATGCCAATTAAAGCCACACGGAATTTTAAGGCACGATACAACTAAAATAAAAAACATATTTACCATACGTGAAACCGCATGTTCTGCCAGAACTACCCTCTCATATAATCATGTTAAATTTACTACAATGGCCTGCCCTTGGCAAGAACACCTCCAGCTTCATTTCAAAAGGACAACATTTAAAGTGGAGAAGAATGTATTATTTGATAGATTTTTATGGTGGAGTAGATTTTAGAAATTTAAGGGAACACTATTGGAGAGTAAATTAGGGGCATTGTAGCAGAAATAGATTTACCTTGTCCACGTGATTAACAATTTCTTTCATGCGATGATGCACGGTAGCCATGTCTTTGTATTTAACATACTGTATGGATATAACAATAAAGTAATATTACAATCTGAAGATGCAGTGAAGATTGGGACTGAAAGCTACTTTTGTCACTCACTCACCTCAGCATTGTCCACAACAAGGTAAAGCTCCACGTATTTAGTTCCGGACTGCAGGGTAGCAGCTCTCTGAAAGACACATTTGTTATAACTATGAGAGATACCAGATTCTCGGTCATCTGTCTTTATTTGCTATCTTAGTACAATGTGCACACTTGGATGTTTATTCAGGTGTTTTAAATGGCAAAATGTTGGTTAAAACAAAGTTTTAGAATTTTTCCTAACTTAGCTATTTTCACAAAACGTTTGCATTGCACCATGGCTTTTAATTTCCACAAATTTTATTATTTAATGGCTGAAGCCCCTATTTCTGAGGTATCTTGGGATGTGTGAAATACAAGATACTTTCTGCATGTTCCGGGATCTAGCCACGATGAGATCCTAATTTCATAATGTTCTGTAAAGTGTAGTAAAGTTATGTATAGGATGTCATACTCACCCATGGCTGAGGTTTAAGCATCGCTGCTACTTTGGGTCCATAATCGTAAACAGTTGTTGCATTGCTCCCTTGGCAGACCCCTCTCTTCAATCTGAGGTGCTCATGTTTATAAACAGCGTGTACCCCCTTTTCACCAGCCCCGGTCAATGGCTCAATCAGATACATCTGTCCTTCAACATGCAGGAACCCACTAAAATGAAAAACAATTGATTACTGTTTGGCCATAGAAATCTTATAGTAATTGTCAGCTAAGTGTATACCTGTTTAGCTACATGTGGCAACATAAAAAAAAACTGATTAAACAACTGCTTTGGACACTCAGTCATCTGATGGAGAGCCAATTTATATTGCTTTGAATTAATAAAACACTAGTACCACCATAAATACCAAGATATGCCCGAATCACTATTACAGTGCTCGGATTAGCCAACTGGTAGCTTTTGTTATTTTAGGACAATCATCCAGTGCCAAAACAAATCTTGCCAAATGGGTTACAAACGTATTGATTTTTAGTTTATACAATAGCTAGCTCCTGGCATTCTCAGGTGTGATGTGGAAACTTGAAATTAAACAGTTATTAGTGAATTTCTAAATAGAGTCAATGGTGATGGATGGACCATAAAAAAATAAAAATTATAAAACTTATAAAATTATTTCCTGTTTATGATGAGTTTTAGAAAATATCCTACTTTTTTTTTTTTTTATGGGTCCCATTTTGTTTATATCACTTTCACATGAATAAATAAAATCCTGTAATTTAAAATGTATAAGAATATATAAATGATGTCACTATTTATTGTGTAAATCACAGGATGGTTGCGCAGTACGGACAATGTACACATTTCCTTCTCCAATTTGAAGTGAAGAGAAATGTTTAAGTATATTTAGATATAATTACGCCTATCTCTATTTCGTCACGTCTATCTCTCTGTATTATACACATGTTCCTCTCTCACAGCGGGACGAGACCCATAAGGAGAATTCATCCCTCAGGCCAGGAAATAGACAATATGAGAAATTACCTCCGCTCGCTTCATTTCCTGTATGTCGTTATGAGATTTGTAGTGTAAGCAATAACAGTTAGAAAAAGGAACTCATTTCCGCTCCGTAAGTTCTGTAATGTTTGAATGCCTTTAACCCGCTAGGAATCCTTTTTTTGGGCTCCTTACAAAAGATAAACTAAATGCTTGTAAGCAATGGAAATGGGGGGAAAAAGCAATCTAAACAAACAAACAAAAACAATAAACTTCTGTTGCTCTGGCAACAAAGCTTTTCAACTAACCAGTGTCCTTCTTTAGATCACATGATGGGATACACAAAATTATGAATGGGACAGAATCTGATCTGCTGATGGCAATTTAAGAATAATTTCTGGGCATGGGTATTATTAATGATAATGTTATAATTTGTGGTGTCATACGCTGTAAAAGAGCTGAGTTTGATATTGTATGTTAATGTTTATCTCTTAGTTTGTATGCTCTGTTTGTTTCCTTCATTGTATGTTGTTTATCTACTAAGAATGCCATAGATTTTTTAACCACATCCTCGTAAGTATGACAAAACAAACAAACGTGATTTAGAGGAGAATAGGGTAAACCGCTAAAACACACAAAACATAACCAGTGTACAACAATTAAGGGATGAGTTAAGATACAAATTATTTTTTGATCATCAAAATCATCATTTGGATTTAGTATTTCCTAAATAAAATGACAGGTCCATTCAAACACAGGAATGGATTTAAAGAATTATTCCAACAAAAAACAAACCATTAGTGTTTTCATAAGACGTTGGTTTTGGTTAGAGTAACCGTTTCTGAGGTTGTGAACACTTAAAAAACTCACCTCAATTACACTGCCCAGTCCAATCTCTAATCTAAGCCTGATCCTCTTTGGCTGACATCAAGGAGGCGAGGGAGGTTGGACTAAGGGGTAGGGGCATGCTGCAATTGGCTGTCAGTCTCCAATTTTGCACATAATAAACAGAAAATTGTTCTGGTCTGGCTAATGACGCCATTGGAAAAGAAGTTACACCTCTGCAGCTAAGGGGTTAATGTCTGAATGTGCAGTGTTTCAAAGCAAAGCGCAACTTTAAAATCAGTGAAGTGGTCATGGTGCTTGGAATAAACCATTTTAACATGTCACAATAGAAAAGGACAAAGGAAAAGCCTCAATATTTGAATCATCATCAGAAATTATTACAATCTGTTAAAAAACAACTTTTAAATGATTTATCCACAGAAGTCACCTTTAAAGTCTATGGGAATTTTGTAGCTAAATCATTTTGAAAAAAGTTTTGGAATAAGTTGTTATGCTGATTTAAACTAATTAAATTGAGGCCAAAGTGAGATGTAAAGGGAAACTATATTTATGAATAATTGAAATAGTATTGTCATAGAGAAGGGGCATGCCAACAGCTTGTAATAGGCATAACGATCCATTGATTAGTAAGCTGTCTCGTCTGAGTACCTATTCATGTGTGCACAGCACATTCTTTATTACAGATACAATATTATAGCGTGATTTACCTTATGCCATTACAGGTATTGATACTGGCAGCTGACTCACTTTCACCTTCCACATGTCCGTGATAGAAGCAATGATCCTGACAATAAAAGAATAACACTCAGGTTACAAGCGTAATAATTGGTGGCATGCAATCTATTGACATATATATAGGGTTACCAGATCCACCATATTGTCAGGGACACATATAAGCTCACTAAAAGTAGGTGGAATAAAATTAGCAATCTGTTGTGTTCCTGGTAAAATGGATCAATATGCTAAATTATTCAAAGGTAATCCTGGAAAACTGAAGGTACTATGACTAGTTACATCTTGGGGGGGGGAATCCAGTGTGACATCTGTAGGGGAAAAAGTCAACAGGAAGTGTCTAGGTGTAGGTTATTTAAGTGGACACATGATTCACAAATGATGGTGAGATATTATTCAGTGGAGCAGTAAAATGTAATCTATAGATTGTGCTATACCACTATGATTGACTACACTTTTAGTCACCTTGTCATAAATTGATTTCTGCTAAAAAATCTGCAGAACAGATGGAAGAACACATTTTTGAGGACAGTCTGTTCTTTGGAGACAAACATGCTTATTCTAAGCCATGTGTTAAGAGAACAAAAGCAAGCAGGTCTTTTCCCAGCCTTCTAGAAGACAGACTGCAAGGAAAACTGAAGAAGTAGAACAGCAGAAGGGTTTGCCTGGTACACACAACTCCCCCCCTCCCTCCCTCCCCTCTCCCATCATGCTTGACTTTAAAAAAAATACTTAGTGGTGTCTCACAATTTTTCATTCTGGTGTCTGAGGATCCGTCTAAACCAGTTAATTTATTACTTGATAAAAAGGTTTTTATTGTAGGTACTTGATTATAAAAAAAATTTAAATTAAAGGTGCTACGCTGAATATAAAGCTTTGAAAAATGGCGGTCTTCTTATTTGAATGAAAGTTGAAACTCATAGTTTCTGGAAAGGAATTGTGGGGCTTGGCTAGCCATCTAAAGATTTCTGGCTTTAATGTCAAACTAAAAATGAAAGAACTGATGGGAATATTAAGATTAAGGTACACGGTTTAAAGTCTCATAGACATGGCTTTTGTTTTTGTAAAATCATGAAACTGGAGGCTCATCTCAATATGGCAGGATCTAAGTGTGAAAAAGCCTGACACATGTTGCTTGGAAACCATAGAAATAGTATCAATGTTTACAGGAAAGTATACGCTTCATTACTGAACAGTTCTCAGAAAATGGATGAAACTTTTTTTTACCGTTCTATGAAATATTATTTGCTTTTGATCGCTAAATTTTAATCATTCTGCTGCATGCTATTACATTTAGGCACATTTTACACAGAAATAAAGGGGGGCAATATTTGATATAAATAAGTAGAAGGCGTGATGCAGAGTTGGTGAAACAGCACATTATAAACTTATTAATGCCCATTAATCTTGCTTCTCTTATTTAATTAGAAAGTGTTTTACCAGGAAGAACACATTGAGATTTCTCTCAATTCTAAGTAGGTCATTTTTTTGTGATTTTAGATTAAAATGTTATAAATTGAGAGGATGTTACAAAATTAACCCCTTTATTCTCAACCTACGGCAAAGTAATAAAAAAGAAATTAGAAAAAATTACGTAAAACCTTAATTTCAACTTCACTCAAATTTAGAATTTAATCCAAGAAAATTTGCATATCCACTGGATTAAATTCTAAACTTGAGTGAAGTTGAAATTAAGGTTTTTATTTTTTTTCTATATATATATATTTTTTTTTTTTAGAAGCTTGCCATTCCTTCCCTTCCCATTCTGTACAGGAGATCAGTAAACATTCTGTTTAGATTCTGGTAACAATCTACATTCCCAATAAATGCTTTTATGTTCCTTGCAAATACCTAGAACAGTGGTATATGTCCTCTGAACAAAAAATACTGGATAACAAAGAAGTTAAGGCTCACAAGGTTTTACGGACCAGTCTGCAAATACTTTTTATCCAAACTACTACAAATTTTCGGCATATACTAAAGCAGTAGATTATTTTATTAAAATCTGTATAAATATATCACTAACCCATGATTAAGAACACTAGCATTTAGTGGTTTTTGTGTCACACCCACAAATAAATTATCTCAGAGCTTAATCAGGTAATCAGGAAATCCAACATGACTCAACTCGAAATAAGAGTATAGAAACCATGTAACAAGATACCCTATGAGTTTCGCTGTGTGACTGTTACTTCTTACAATTTTTTTTTTTTAAAACATTTAATGAGTTATGATCTATGCTACATATATGGTAAGGTATATAGATAGCTGATAAAATTAGACTCTTTGACCAAACACATATCCAGACATTGGAAGTATAACACCTTATAGAAATTGGTGTTCTTTCAGGACTTCCCTGCTTCGCACACAGTCTAAGCATATTAAATGCATCAAAAATATATCAGTTACAGGCAGAACTGGGTGGGGGTGGGGTGAGTTGATAAATTAGAGGCAGAACAGGAGCTGATCAGGTTTGATTCCCCGACCTAAACCCCATTTATAATTTTATTATTGCCTTTATATTATATCTGCTGAAATATGATACATTTGGCTGCCTATATAGATTTTGATGGACTTTATATAAGTGGATTCACAGAGCACCACTTTGTATGTGTATGCACAGCTCCAGCTTTTAGATAGCTCATAAAACACTGACTACACCAATTTCAACATTTCTTGCAACGAGTATTGCATAGTGCGCCCAGACCATTTGTTTCTATGATGAAACACAGTGTTTTTGCCTTGTTTGGTTGCCTTAGAGATGTGTACAATAAAGGAAGACACTGTTGGTACAATAACAAAAAAGGAACTTACCTGCCCATTTTGGGCTTCTGTCACCTCTGTTCCATTTTCTGAATAATATGTTAAAGTATAGTCTTTGCTCAGTAGTTCTCTGGGGGGAACAAAAGTGTAGATTGTTAATAATTTTATTTTTTTTGCTAAATTAATTTTCTGATCATTTTCTACATTTTCTGATCATATTCTAAAGAACAGTGTTGTTTCCTCATCAATTCATTGTGTAAGTATTAATAAAATGTTCTTGCAAATAAAAGGGATCCTGATATTATGTGAGAATGTAAGACAATGTATGTGTATGTGAAAATAGGCTCATTACAGAAAAGAAAACTGTATTCACTGTATGTAGTGGCAAAGTAAAGAGCGATTTAACACATAGTACGCAGGGCCGACAACATATACATCCTCAAAACACACAAACGCACAACATATAGTACATCTAACACACATTGCATTTCTAAACACATAGTGCCTCTCTGCAGAATGACCTGCATTCTATGCCAAAAAAAAAAGCTTAAAACTGGATGCTTATAATTAGTATTTAATCATCCACATTGTAAATCCCCGAAGATAGTCATTAGTAACCTCATTAGGAAGGAGTGACCATCTTTACTTTTAACTAGCCCACATTTCGAATGACAGGAGGAAGAAGCAGACTTCTGCTTTATATCTTAAGAGAGGCATTCTAAATCTTGACATATTCTAAGTATAGAGAATAACTGTGTTCTGTGGTTTCAAACTGAAAGCTTTGGGTGTTATATTGGCAACGATGACTAACTGAGAAAACTCAGGTTTCTAGTTTCCAGGTTTTACTTTTAGAGTAGGGCTTGTTAAATGCTATAATTCTGTGTGATAAATAGGTTCACGTCAATGCCTATCTATTATATTTCACAAATCTATTTGAAATGGTATGATATTAGTCTACTAGCAATCACAATTGTTTTTTTTGTTTTTTTTATCCTGGAAGAGAGAATGCCATACACACCCACCATCAGCACCATAAAATAATGTGTCAATACCTGTTCTTTTGTAACGTTATGGTGTAATTCTTGCCTCCAAAACGCAGGGCATAGCGCGCATGTTCTGGGTAGAGATTCTGTGGATAAAGACATAAAGAGAACTTTGTTTTGGTTTTTTTAAACGGTTTATTCATTGGCCAGGTCTACAAATTAACGAATAAGATCAACACAAAAAAAGGTGTAATTCAACAACTATATTGTGTTTCTGTAGTCTGGTGACTGCAAGTGACCTTTGTTTAAAAATCTGAGGTGTTATGCACAACATCATTAAGGACCCAGTCACCCAGCCTATGTCCAGCTGTGCCTGTGATACATCACTGTATTTTTTTGTATTACGATATAATTACTAGCATATATATTCATGCTCTTAAGAATGATCATATCTACATGTCACACATCTATTTTCATTCGCTATTAGATTAAAGGACTTTTAGGTGCGATTTCACCTAAAATTGGGTGGGATTACATTTGGGCTCATTGTATACGTAGATCTGCAGTGCAGACTACGGTCTAAGGAGACACTGACATATTATCAGTTTTATTGGTATGTAGAATATGCAATAATATAACGCAGTACATGGTCTGTTTTGTTTTTCCTATTTAACAGCTAGGGAATACTTAGACTTATATGATAGAATGTTGAAACAGACATATGAATACTTAATCCATTTGGGCTCCTGTTTTGTAAGGGTACTGGAATGGAAAACTCATTATTTTAATACTGTGTCAGACTGTTTAATATCTGATTGATCTCATTGAGATATATAAATAGAGGCGGATTCCATGCACTGCCATGATACAGGTTATTTCAAAGAAACTATTAACCTTCCGGAGATGGTTGTGATGGATATCCTGTTATCTCAGTGATCTCAGTGCTTCTGGGGCTCTGCTTTTCCCTAATATGTGCTGAGAAGGGCTGGTTTTAATCGCAGCCATGAGACTGTACTTCAGGAAATGGGGATGGACCACAGGAGAAGGAGAACAGAAGCCACAGCAGACTAAATAATCCTGGTGTGAACATCCCAGAGTTGGTTTGGAATACCATTCCACGGCTAAGGCGCGGCTGTATGCACAAAGTCACTGTAGAATTTTTCATGTACACATATGTATAAACCAAATATACATCCCTACTTAATAGCCAACATTACTAATATTTTTTTCCTCGGTTTGAAAAAGCACCATTATATTTCACAGTCCTGCTCAAAGCATTAGAGTTGGAATTATAATTTAAAAAAGACTACTGCAAACACAAATATTATACAAAAAAACATTAATGTTAAAACCAGAACTGCATAAAGTATTTGCAGCAATACGTACTCTGTAGTAAAACGTCTGCATGGCATTAAAATTTGATTTGGCCAAACCAATCTGTCCCCAAAAAAAAATAATTCAGATAAAAACGGTTTGGACAAATGCAAAAAATGGACCCATCAGTGTACTCTAAATATATCCACAATGTAAATTTCATGTATATATTTCACAGTACATTGATAGACGCATTTCCCTGCCATTTGGTTCACAGAAAAAACGTAACCAATAGAAGGGGGAAAAAAGGAAAAGCAGTAAAAATAAATAAGTAAATCAATAAAATTATATATATAGAGAGAGATATTTTGTTTACTGATCCTCCTTTCCCCCCTCTATTGGTCATTGGTCATCTGTGAATAAAATAAACATTAAGTTAATGTCTCCTAACCATCAGTCATATTTTTTTTCCCATCAATCATCTCTTTTTTTAAATGGGTGGGACTGCAAATCATCAATCGAATTAAACTGTTCAGCAATTTTATGTGTCATTTGCTTTGTGATACTCTCACATGGCGCTCTAAAATTCAGACAAATTGCAATTTGTTTGAAACCATATGCTGTAGTGCTACATGTAAGAATGTATTGAAATCAATAAAATAATTCAAATCAATATAACTGATAGTATGTTCTAGTCTAGTCTAGTTCTTAATGTGTGCTTTTATAATAATTGGTGGTGTGTTCAATATACCTTCTTGCTGATGCCTTCATTAGCATGCTTAATAGATACAGTTAATTCTTTAGAAGCCAAATAGGATTGCATTAAACCACTGAGTAGTTAAGTCAATAATGTAAAAATACATGTTTTGTGGGAATGAATAAGTGTGTAGTATCCAGACTGTTTACATTATCTTTGCGTGTGTGTGTGTGTGTGTGTGTGTGTGTAATCCCACCATCTCTCTCACTCTACTGTCTGTAGTCAGGGTCCCATAAACCAGCACTTTCATCTGACATGAAAAATAGCTCTATATAAATGAATGAATCATGGGAAGGAAAGGGACCAGTTTTTGACAAGCTGTTGAACTATGGCTCCTTGAAATGGTTTATGAGTTTTGTTACAAGAGGTCAGCCATCTCTAATTGGATTTATTTATGGAGAGAAAAAGCTCCCAGTTATCCCACTTTTAACCTCTTGGATGCCACTAGTTCCTCTCTTCACCCAATTCGACTGTTAATATGGCAAAGACAGAGATAATATGAAATAGAGTTTGATCTATCCATCTGTGTGTTTCTGCATGGTAGTGTTCCAAATCAGAATGTTGAGAAATGTCAGTGTTCCAAAGACGAACATTCACTGTTCAGCAATGAGAGAATGGAATAAAATTTCGATCTGCCATACCAAATGTTCTCTTTTGGCAGCCCATGATGAACTGATATGTGTTCCATAAATTAATTCATAAGTAGCATACATGAAAGAATAGTGTTTCTACCTGTGCCAGGTCCCTCTTTAATCTTTCCAGGTGAAGCCTTTGGGGGAACACCCTTTCATAGGTCTGCACGTGGGGAAGATGTACCGTTTCTGAATATCCTGCTGAAACAGAAAATGTCATAAAACCACTGCTCCTTATATGTTTCACATTTTTTTTTTTTATAAATACATTTTTTTTTGGCCAGTAAGTTAATAACCTATAAAAAAAACTCAATGAAAAAAATGTAAATGTTTTCTCTGAAAGTCAAGTATGTATTAATATATTTCATATATTATAAATATTACATATAGGTAAAACATGCATTATACAGTGGGGAATACCTTGAGATATGCATGTCTTGTTTCTTGTCATAATTATTATTTATACAAAAAGTAAACACAAAGCATTATACATTTTGTACAATTCTCCCTACTGTTGATTAACACAATATTTAAGGAATATATTCTATATCCAATCCTCACTGTGTTCATTACATCAAAGTTAGATCAACCAGAGTAAATGGACTTTCTGTGGTATTAAAACATCTTATATATATATTACTAATTCTGAGTATGATGTTATGTTATTTTATTGAAATTCCAACACAATCCAACACTTATGAACAAGTCTTAGGTTGACAAAAGTTGACAAACAGGTAGAGCTCTACTGTCATATTTTTGTCCAATCCCAGAAGCCAACACAATTGATGGCTATGAGATTCACCATCTCACTCACTGCAACACATGATCTATAGAGGCTCCTGTGGATCTTCTATAGATCTCAATGATGTACTCTTGCGCATGCAGATGACGTGCCTGGAGCTGCACTGGGTCCCCAGATTAAAGATGGCGGTGGAGACGAGGGACTTTTATAGGTAAGTAAACCTACTTTCGACTGCACCCCACAGCCACCATACACTAACCAAAATTATCACATTCAAGGTCTTTGCAAAATGTGCAAAGACCTCCAAAAGTGACTGATTCATTTTAACATGAGTGACAAAATAAAAGTACATTGTCACATTTGTCCATGTTTAACATAAATAATGTAATAATTATTTTTTCCCATATATTAATTCATTTTCTCTATAAAGTAATCTATTCCAGACTGTCCCTCTACTCTAAAGTGAACCATTTTGCAATGTTGTACAGCTGTGTTAACTTTATCAGAAATCTAAAATAATATTTAAATCATAGTAAAGCCATTATACACAAGTGGCAAATTCATTATTTTGCAAATATTTTTCTACCGCCCCCTCACTCCCAATGACATTTATACACAGATTGCTTTTATTTTGAATGGTGCTTTGTAATTGCAATGCAATTATGCAAAATTAAATATAATTCAATAAAGACTATTTCATTTAATTTATAGTGTCACAGGAAGTATCCAACTGTAAATAATGTCATTGTATTCCTCTCTGATACTGTATAGCAGACTGCACAGATAATGATACTTAATATAGTTTCCAGGTATAAGGAAATACAGATGTCTGGTCTCTGTCAGGCAACTGTACTTACAATATGTGAACATAATGCCTGGATATACATAATGTTTGTATTCTGCTGACACTCAGGTTTGTTCACCAAGCACCAAATTAAAAACTGAGTTGCGAAATTCAAGTGTCCAATACACATTTGGAACAATTCTCCAATCCAACTTTTTGTATTATATATATATATATATATATATATATATAAATTCCAACATTTCCTTGCACTACAGGCTGTAAATAAATACTTATTTTCATTTGAACCCTATATATATTTATTTATTTATTATATATATATTTTTTTTTTATTACAATTTCTGTTTAGGAATGCATGTATACTGATATAACATCTGACATAACACACATATTTTAGTAAAACACTTCAATATGAATAATAATATATTACAACTAACTGGACGAATTTATTAGTCTTTTTAAATCACACCTCCTCTATCTTTTTAAAGAAATGCTAATTTTGCTTCTTTCCAGAACCTATGAATTGTGAAGCCTTGCAAGATGAGAGATACAATGTAATCTATGATAATTTATTTGGTCATTCTTTGCAAAAAGTATTGTAGGGAACAAAGTAAGAATTCAAATTCTGTCAAACTACATGATATATTTTGGGTAGCCTCCAAAACCCAAAATCTCAAATACATTATTTTATTATTATTTTTATTAACATATTTACAATGGATGAGCTATACGAAAACTATGAAGACACTTCCCTTTAAGCAAAGTATATCTAATCCACATTGAACAAATAAACTAAGCTGTGTTTTAAACATTCACAATATAGTCTATGGACTGCATACAACATTTTCAAATAAATAAATTGAGCAAGCCAATGTCTGTTTGCACAAACATGTAAAACAAACACAAATGTCATATCAAAACATGTCAAAAAGGGCTGTTTTAATTTTTTGCAGCTAAACTAACACTTCAGTCATCTACTGTGCACTCTAGATATCACCAATGGATCATCTGAGCTTCAATGACCCCCTGTGAAAGTAAACTTTCTAATCAGTGGGCCAGTGAAGTGTTTATTTAAAAAACTTTATTTAGAATGTCATCTGGCAATAAAAGGGTCAATTAAGCTTAATGGCTGGTGGTCAGACTAGTCAGACTACTGTAACACAGAGATAGTGAGGAGGAGTCAGAGAGAAGGAAAAACAAATTAGAATGAGAAGAAAAAACAACAAATTAAACTAAAAGGGAAAACAATGGAAGAAAGAGAACTATTACAATCAAATGTGAAGGACACTGAAATACGAGAGGGGAATACCTAAAATGGGAGAGAGTTAGAAAAGGGTTTATTCACTAAACAGGGAATTGAAAAAGTTATTGTAAAATTGAGGCCAAAAATAGCTGGTATGGGGAAATCTTTCAACTCAGTTACAGTCACAGTTTGGGCTGATTTAAGTGGTGGGGATTTGGGGGAGCAGATTTGTCTGTACTCATTTTTTTTTTTTAAGACTTTCTTATTCATATGTCTTTTAGTCATTAGATATTTTATTTTTTTATTTTTTTCTTGCATGCATCTTAACTCCCATCATATGCTGCTAATTCACACAGGAAACGTTCCCTCACAGATACATGGTATCCGTGACATGACATATATATATATAGGAATGGCTCAGAAAACGCTATAACAGCAAGCTAGTCAGTGATCATCACTGCATAGGACTAGTTTTACGTTCTCTTGGGCTATAAGCACGATATGTCTTTAGATCCACTGTAAAGCCAGCAAACAATGCAAACTGTTTTAATCACTTTAAAAACAACATTTGCTCCCGATAAGCAAATTCCCAACAATAAGCTCCTACTGATACGATCTAATGTAAAACACAGCAACATTGCTGGCGACATCCCATGCAGCCTGGAACTTCCACAGAAAATGCAGTTATCGATTTCTACGTTCTTTACATTAAAACGTGTGTTTGTGTGAGAAATACATACATATACACACACCGCAAACTTAAATGGAACTGGTAAAAATGTATAAATTACAAACTCTACTGGAATCAATACAAATAACACAACGATAAACCATTCAAACAATTATTTTGCACCCCCTCATCATTTGACTAAACACATGTAAAATCATAAAGCAGGAAATGATTAAACTCATCTCTCCAATCTCCCATGAGATCAGGTCTTCCCAGCCCTGCTCAATGTATTCCCCCCCAGTGTCCCCGCACAGCCCCTTCCTGTGTTACTGTATCAGCAGTGAGAACTTACCCAGCACAGCGCATAGAGCCAGCAGAGGGAGGGTAGAATGCATGCTGCCAGTTTAATTCTGATTGTTCCAATTCCCACACAGCAAAACCACTGACTATATACGGCCTCATTTGCATAACTACATATTCTAATGTCAGAGAGCCTGTGATTGGACAGCCTTTGATTTACTCATTTCCCCCTCCCTCTGATTCATGCTTTTTGCTTAAATCATTTGAGGAAGTGAGGAATACGCTGAGATTCCAGGCAACTCTTTGACTGTGTCACTGCAGATCCTGGGGGCTTGTATGTTAGTATTAATGTTTAAGTGTGTATTATTAGCAATCTTTCCTAAGTCATTTCCCAACCCAAAATGTATATTTAGACCTTCTAGGAAGAAATATTTAGGGTAGATAATGGATATACATATGGGAGCTGGAGTGATTTTCCTACACCAGGATATCGAACCCATGTACTGAAGAGTGGCATAGCTAGGGATTTATTACAAAGCATGCCAGTTCTGGAAAATATTTTTTTTTGTTTTGTTTTTTTAAGTATAAAGAAATAGGTGTAAAAAACCAATAAAAAGTCACTTCTTAAAATTATAGACAGCAAAGGTGAGCGCTAGAAGACTTCTAATCAATTTCCTTTGGGAATTCTGGATCTTTATTTTACCAAGCAAAAGGGCCACTCCGATCACCATAACCACTACAGACCTCTGTAGAATGGACATTAGCCAGCCAGGAACTCTAGTTTTGGGCTGGCTGGTGAAGCCCCAATGAAGTGCTGGAGGTGGAGTTACACCTACGGCAGAAGAGGGGATAAACTCTGTATGTGCAGAATTTCATAGGGAATGCTTCATATACAGACTCCAGGCACCATGACCACTTCAAATCACTGTAGTGGTCATGGTGTTTTGAGTAACCATTTAAGTTAATGGCATGGTTGTATGGGCAGAAGGTCAGGCTGGGGAAGGGGGTTAATCACCAAATACTAAATTGAAGTGGACTGAAAACTAAATTGCAAGATCATCGGGTTTATATACTAATGTGGGTATTGTCTGGAATTCAAAGTAAATTTACAAATGTTATGTGATATGAGATTTTTTTTTTCATTTTTGCTATTTTGGTTTAAATAGTTAAACTCACTTTGAATTCACTCTGGATTCCCCAAAATCTACACTATAGCGAAAGACCCAATTTTTCTATAAACCACACAGTCTTCGATAGCACAGAACAGGATAACTGGTAATTACACACCTCTGTTTTTGCACAGACGGGTATTTATTGCCAAAAACAGGAATGCAGGAGAATTGAAAGATAGCTGAATTTGATTATTTTTTCACGTTTGTCTATTTAGGATAAAGGTTTGCAAATTCCTTTATCCTAAATAGACAAACTCCGGAATCCTCACTGATATGTTGGCAACATTCCGGAATCCTCACTGATATGTTGGCAACATTACATAATTAAATTGTGTTGCCTGATTGAATGCTTAATGGACAAGATACACAGCCCACACACTTTGATTGTATTGTCCTCATCCCAATTCATGAGGTGTAAAACCTATTGCCAGTCCTGCTGTGAATGACTGCAGACTTCCTATGACTGTTATAATCTCCACAATGGGGACATTTCTCTTACTGGAATATAGCCAGTAAAATTCTGTCCAGTTGGAATCAAGCAATATTACCAAAACAGTTTAAAAATTCGGTGAGGTTATTCCAAAACAAGGGAAGTGTGTTCTTATAGATTGCGTATACAATTGGATAATGGATCCATATGTTGTGATGGTTAATCAGATGATGAAACATAATTGAAGATGCATGCTTAGCATCAGTTTATTTGAATTTTGGGCTTGGCGTACAGTTGAGCTGAACAGGTAACATTGTGACTTTGGGGAGCGTCACTGTGCTTTCAACAACTTGTAATATATTGGTACTTTGCATTAAAGGCAATTCTTTTATTGGCTAAATAAGTAGATATAGAGTAACAGCAGCTGATATAGTACTCTACTTTACCTTAAGATTAAACACATGGTTTCCCTACTGGTGAACAGACTCTTTAGTAAACAAATCTAGAATGATAGTATCATTATCTCCAAAACAAAATGGCAGCCAGTCTGGGCCAAGTTATGTCAGAAGCTGCTCACCCAAAGCCACTGTGAGTTTGCTAAGGCATTTTATTGTAAGGACAAGTTATGAACAGTTTAAATCTGAATTTTAGATGTATATAAAACTTCTATTCACCTGGCCAGCAACATAATGATAGATCGTTTGATTGATCTGGAACAAGAAGAAATTAACCCAAAATTAACTAAAGCACAATAACATGAGAAACATCAGTGATTGTTCGGGTCACTAGGTGTTTCACATGGTCAGTTCTAGTTTTCTGATTGATAGAATCATGATTAGAAATCCTAAAGATATAAATATACACATTGAAACATTCTAACTGCATTGCTTGTGATTAATGGTTGTGGCAATAGCTGTGTATGAATGCAGAAGAAAAGGAATGAAGCCTTACTTATTATAGAGTGCACGTTTATCTCTTTATATTGTTTTTATTTAAATTGCAAAAGCCATATCATTGGAAGGGTTACAATGTGCATAATTGATTTACTAGGATGTCTGGACATTGCTGAGGTTCGGATGATTTTGTGGTACATGACCCCTCCAAGCTGCTCATAACCTTTTATTAGAGGTCTCGCAGGAAGAACGACGATCTAAAAATAACAAGAAAAATGTAATAAAACAGAGAAGAAAGTATAAACTGATTAGCATCGCGCAGGAAAACTACAATGAGTCAGAAGCCTGGGGTGGGTTTGCTAATTCAGCTGCCTCCCAATCTCATTAAAAGATAGTATGCTTCACATCACTAACTGCATTGTAAATTGGAGGATTGTGCGAATTTGTGGGTGATCTAGAATTATAAATATATATCTTATGAAGGACAAAATGGGCAGCATGTATCCTACTCATACTGTAGAGATGTGTGCTATACATCCACAATTTAAACAGGTTGAATCTAAACAGGTCAATAAAGTATAAAATATAAATTAAAAAAATTATTGAAGACAACAGACAGGTGACTTTTTAATTTAAAAAAGCCTCCAAAGCAGGTGAAATGCGGATTACCTTGTATTGTTTTTAAAGCAGATTTTACAATAAATCACTGTAGTTCATTATCTATTTGGACCAGTTAGTTTTTATTTTTATTTATACTTTACTTTTCTCTGTTCCTGGCATGCCTTGAAGCAAAACCACTTGGAATATCACCATCTGATCCTCGGTGGGGACTGTACCACCTACACTGTCAAATTAGAGCAATTTTATTGCTCAAAAAAATGCAAGGTCATTTCCATCCATCTTTCTGTTACTTATATACAGAGAGCACTATATGCCGTTTCGTTTCTCCCACATATGTGAATGCTGTTGAAGAAGTTGTAAACCAGCTGCATCTTTAGTTGGGGTTAGTGCCACCTTATATCTGTGAAGTTACGCTTTAGTAAAAACTCTACGTTTGGGAGTTTATTTCCTATTTTTAGCAATAAAGTCACTTTAAATTGGCAATACTACACTATTGGATGTTACTTGTGTCTTTACATATTCCACTGTGACTCACGAGAGAAACCTCGTCCTCACATATTCATCAGTGGGGATTGTTCCACTACACACTGTCACTACCAGAGCTTTATGATAACTCTATAACATGTGAGTGGGCACTTACGCACTTGTGTTCTTTGTTATCCACTCATTGTGTTGCATACTATGCTATCAGTATAACCTTTGTTCCCCCCTTTTCTTTTATAAGCACTTTATGAGAACATACACAGACACATAAGAACTCAGGCCAACAGAAGAATATTCAGACTGTATATATTTCATTTAATCTTGGACCATCTGTTTAGCCGCAACCTGTTTCCGATAACATTTGTATTTTTTTCATTGGGACATTGAGGGGTCTCTAACTCAGTTTTTGCTGCCTTTGGTTAATTGACTTTCGTGCGTTTTAGCGCCTCTCCAAATTTTGTAAATCCGCAATTTAAATGTCTGGGATTTCCAGTCACCCCTAAGGTGTTAGAAGCTAATTGATATGTAAACACAATTTGCTACAAGACAGTAATTACTGATTTCCATGAACAAAACATAACACGTTCCACCAAAATTAAGAAAAACTCTTGGGAAGACAGGATATATATCCAATAAGGTAAAAAGCCAAATTCTTTCAAAAACTGTTTGACTACTTATAGTGAGCGGGCACCAGGGCACTCCTACCATAACCACAACAGTGTTCTATAGTGGATATGGTGCTTGGAGCACTACTTAAAAGGCTTAATACAGGAGACAAGTAAATGCATAGGATCCTTCAGCAGAGATTGTGGTGAGGACAGAGGCTGCATGTAGGAGATAACATGCTTCCGGTTTTCTTGAAGCTGATTGCTTCTAAAATCAGTGTGCAGTCACAGATATCCTATTTACTTTGTATAATTGTTGTGTTCCCCCCTGTCAATACCAACCGGAGTATACTAGCAATGAAAATTGCCACAGCATGGCACATTAGCAGAGTTAAAACATTAGCTGTGCTTTTTTTTTTAAGTTATCTATTTAAAAATAGGTTATTGATTTAAAATATTAGATTTTATAAAACATTTAAAAATATATATAATGCTCTATGAAACACTCACCAAATAGATTTAACTATGGCGCATTAGTTCCAATTAGTTACTTAGAGGAAAGAGAAGTACTTGGTGGAACAATATGTTAACTAGCTCTCTGAGTCAGAGGATATTTAATAAAAAAGAGAGTTCTCTTGAATTCTATTTGTTTATTAAGATCTCTGCATGTGTCAAATGAGTGTTCCTTTTCTTATTTCCTTTATCCACAGCCTGGAGGCTGCATATGGCCCAAGATTAGACAGAGATATGGACTGTGCTGATGAGTGCCCCCCTCCACCTCCTCCGATAACAAATCTGTAATTGACACTCTACTCACAAGTGCTTTGATCTCATTTATACTGCATGAGGCCAAATGCCATGCTGATTCAATCAGTGTGAGCGGCCATTGTTCTCTGTAGTGTCACTTAT